AAAAAAAAATGTAATCATATAAGACAGCTTAGCTGCTATCCTCCCACTCTCTAGAATTTTTAATTTCAGCTGTTTCTGCTTGGATTTATTTCCAATATTCCTGCTCGGCTTTTCAATTTCCTCAGTTATTAAATTTTAATTCAGTGCATTAGCATTTAAATTAAAAAAGGGTTTATTTTATCGAAATCGTTGGCCAGCCCCCATCCCATAGCACACGAATTGCCTGTTTCTGCCATTTGCACAAAATGTGAAATGCAGCTAATGTCTTACAACTTACATTTGCACAAATTTAGAAATAAAATTTCTGGGTTTGAAATAATATTTTCTTTCCAAGAAAACCCTTAATAAGAGAATGGAAAAGAACAACTTAACGTTCATTTGGGAGGGGAGAGGAGGGTCGAATGAAGCCAAAAATAGCTTTGCCCAGGTCCTGAGGAGACACTGGCATATAAGGAATGGATGGGGCTGGGAATGGAGGGTGGGCAGGTACCCTCAGGAGAGGCTGGGGAGCTTTGGGTAAAGACCTCAACCATGCAAGAATGAGAAGGAGGGTCTCTTATGAGCCCTCTCTCTCCCCTCATTTGCCATAGACAGGTCTGGTTAAGGTTGAATTAGTTCAACATAAGCCCTCTGCCCCATGGCCCCCGACCCCATAAATTTTACTTATGGAAAACCTCAGGTCCAGGGAAAGGAGAAAGCTTGCCTAAGGTTCAGAGTGAGACTTAGACAGAGCCAGGACAAGAAGCTACATCCTTTAGGAGAAGATAGTCCAGTGGCAGAGATGGTCCTACAACAACAGCAGCAGCACCCGTGGAGGTTTCCATACTTGAGCGATTACCACCTAAGTACTTTACCTACATTATTGCATTCAGTGTCACTCTGACTGGTCCCGTTGGAGAAGTTCTCAGGTCTTTGGTGGTTTGGTGGACACTCATGAGATGCTGACTTGGCAGCATTAGATTCTGGTCAGACCCTGAGGCATGCTGGTAAGACCTGTGGTCCAGTCCAGACCAGCTCTGCTGTTCCTTTGCTGTGTAATCTTATTCAGGTCACTCTCTTTTTTGGTGCCTCAGTTTCCTGGATCCAGTAAATGGTGGTCTTTATAACTATCTAGGGTTGTTAATTATTATTGTAGTTATTACTTCTGAGCTCATACGAAGTGCTTTTTACACGTTACCCTACACACATTATCTCACGCCCGTTGCATGAGGTGGTGGTGGTGTTTTAGTTAGGTGCTGTCGAGTTGATTGCAACTCAGCGACCCCATGCACAGCAGAACGAAACACTGCCCAGTCCTGCGCCATCCTCATGATCCATGTTAGGCTTGAACCCATTGTTGCAGCCACTGTGTCAGTCCATTCCATTGAGGGTCTTCCTCTTTTTTGCTGATCCTCTGCTTTTCCAAGCATGATGTCCTTCTCCAGGGACTGACCCCTCCTGATAAAAAGTCCAAAGTATGTGAGACAGAGTCTCACCATCCTTGCTTCTAAGGAGCAATCTGGCTGTACTTCTCCGGGACAGATTGTTTATTCTTTTGGCAGTATTCTTCACCAACACCATAATTCAGAGGTGTCGGTTCTTCGGTCTTCCTTATTCATTGTCCAGCTTTCGCATCATATGAGGCAATTGAAAATGCCATGGCCTGGGTCAGGCGCACCTTAGTCCTTAAAGTGACATCTTTGCTTTTTAACACTTTAAAGAGGTCTTTTGCAGCAGATTTTCCTAGTGCAATGCATCATCACCATGAAGTGTAGGTCTATGATAAGCATATTGCCATTTTGCAGATGAAGAAACTGATGCCTTAGGAGGGCAGATGACTTGCCCAAGATCACACAGCTAGAAGATGACAGAACCAGGACTTGAACTCTGACTCTAAACCCTTGCTCTTAAATTTCAGTTCAAATTGAGAATCAGTTTGGATTACACGGGGTAGTCGTGAATGTAATTGAGGTTGGATCATGTGAAATTGCTGATTTTAGACCATTTTGGCCTAGGAAAATGGCAACGTCAGAGATGTGACTTAATTCAAGTAGAAGGAATTGCTATAGTATATTTGTGAGGGCACAAAGCCGGGCATCATATGGATCTCTGCAACTGAGAGTTGATGCTGTCAGCACTGTGGATTTCGGCTGAGGTTGCTAGGGGCTCAGGGTCTGTCCCCTGTCATGGTGGGTCTGGACTTGGCTTTATCCCCTCGAGGCAGCCATGCCCAAATGCCATGATTGAGATGGTTTGCGACATTGACACATGCCTGCTTGGACATCTCTCACTTGAATTCATTATCCAGCCATACACCCACCCTGGCTTTCCCATATCTGCTGACCAATGGCCTGGACGTTTCACATCCAGCTGTGGTAGCCCTTCTCCCTCCAGCAGTTCCATTTCCTCAGTGCCACCACCTTAGTGTCTGCAAGAGGATGTTTTTGGACTACTATTTGAATATTTCTAGTATTTTGTCTTTGTTTTGTAAAAATGGGTGGAAAGTAAAAATGAGTGTTGATACCAGATCATAAACTTAATCAAAGGGAAACAAAAGTGGAGATTGTTAGGTGTGCCGAAAAGCTCTATCCCCATCCCCCATCCTGTTAGCTTGCATGGTCCTTGATCTGGTCAACTTTTTGTGAAATTATGAAGGAAAAAGACAATAATGACATTAAAAAATGCGTGTGAAATCTTAGATATGCATGCCCAGAATTAAGTCTGAGAGGTGAGAGATCACTTGGGATTTGGCAATATTTTTAAGCTCTATGGGAACAGAATTCTCACCCCCTGCCACTTCTGCCACTTATGATATGAACATTAAAATAACTTCTGCCCATTTGCTTTACATGCAGGTTTTGAGGAATGCAGGATGTCAGAAAGAGGCTGTAATTGGTCCTGTTCTTTTGCTCCCAGTGAAATGCTATGCAAACCATTTTCTGCTTTCTTGTTTCTTCCGCTGAAATAATACACCAGCTTCCCATTAAGTTTTCTTTCCCAGACCTCATGTTTCCACCTCTCCACTTGTCCTTAACCTTTCCTTTTCCCTCGAGTGGGAAAGGGAGGGTGCTGTGTGGCTCCACCCCATTTCCTGGTTGGCTCCCCTGAATGTTGGTGGAAGATAGAATACTCCAGAGCAGAGAAAGGCAGGCTTTGGAGTGCCCTAGACCTAGGCTTGTAGCTGGGGGACTTTTGATAAAAGACTTAATTTTTTTTACCTTCTGTGTCCTCACCTGTAAAATGGGGCTACGGGGTCGGGGAGGACTTAGTGTGAGAATTAAATGAGACAAGGCATTTAATGCCCATACACTAATGCCTGATGGGAAGTTAGCCAGGGGACTTGAGTGCGGATGCCCACAGGGGCCAGGCAGGTGGGCTGAGTATAATGCAAGAGACGGGGTGGAGCCACTGGAGACCCAGGTATCACGTCAACTCTAGCTGACTTCTGCTGTGTAGGACTGGGCCTTGCTGGATTATCCAGTTTTATAAGAGAAGCTGGAAGTATGGCCCCCTTTTTGGGGGGTGAAGTCCCTTGATTTTTATATATTGCCTGTTTGTTTCAAAGTCCTCCATCTGGTTTTGCCAGTTTGCAACCTCTAGTAAGCGCTCATTAAAAGGCAGCAGCTGCTGTGTTTATCTGTTATCCACCATCCTGAAATTAAAAAAGCTTGAAAACTGAACATTTTTTCCTGATTGATTAGGCAGCAGCAGTTGAGCTGAATGGCGATGAGGCTAGTTACAGTCTTTATTTATCCCACGTCGTTCTTGTTGTGTGCTGTTGAGTCACTTCCAACTCATAGTGACTCTATATGACAGAGTAGAACTGTGTCATAGGGTTTACTAGGTTTTTTCTCCCGTGGACTGGCTGGTGGGTTCGAAGTGCCGACCTTTTGGTTAGCAGCCAAGCTCTTAACCATTGTGCCACCAGGGCTCTTATCCTTTGTAGAGTGACTAAATGGTCTCTGGGTGGCGCAAACGGTTTGCACTTGGCTACTGACCAAAAGGCTGGCAATTTGAGTCCACCCAGTGGAAGAAAGGCCTGGCGATCTGCTTCTGTAAAAAGTCCAGCCAAGAAAATGCTATAGAACTCAGTTCTACTGTGTAACACATAGGGTTGCCATGAGTTGGGATTGACTTGGCATCAATGGAGGGGTTTTTTTGGTTTGTTTTAGGGTTGACTGTTCATATATTTCATTACAAACATTATTGTGCTTAATTACTGAGCACCCCCCTCAACCCTACCAGGGCTGCTTCAAAATCATATACATTACATGACCTTTCTAAAGTCAGGAAAGCTCTGAATTTTGAAGCACATGTGGCCCCAGGGTTTTGGACCTGCATTATTCTAACTATTATTATAAATGTGACAAATCTAGGGAATGTGTCTCATACCAATGGTGATGAAGAACCCAGGCGTTCTTCCCATGTTGCAGTCTGCTCTGACCTCTGCATTGAGGTCCCCTGAGTACTGGCCTGGACGTCAAGATCCCAGATATTTGTCCGTAGGTCCTCATGACCCTTGGCAGATTTCTTCCTTGCCCAGGGCCTTCTGAACCAAACTTTATGATTTCTGAAAATTTCATTTGGTCAGCATTATCTCCCTATTCCCCCTGCCCCCAGTAAAAGAGATTAAAGAACCAACGCTCTCTTGCCTTCCCCTGCTCGTAGGGTTGGGGGACAGACTATTTTAATATAATAGGATTTTTTTCCTCCTCTGGTTGGTAGGAATAAATCTGCAGCTACTGTTTTATTGGAAATCCCAGCTGAAAATAAAAATGGTGCAATTCAATCTCAGATTTAGCTGGTTACTTACTTTTCACTGAGTCCCCAGGGCTCTGCGGTTGCTGGGTTTGTGTTGGCAGTGGGTGCTCAGGCAGCATTTAAAGGGCCAAGCAAATAGAGTGTCCTGACTCCCTCTTGCCACTGGGGACAGACTTTTCCAGCCTGGAGGAATGGGGCAAGGGGTAGAACCTGTGTTCTTCCATTTGGCTGATGCAAGTGTTTTGGGGTTTCTTTTGCAGGCTGACGGAGCCAGTGCAGCCGGAAGGAAAAGCACGGTGGGCAGGTGAGCTCCCCGTCCCCTGCCCCACCCTGCATCCCCTCTCTTGTCCTGGTCTTCGTGTCTCACAGTCACCGCTTTCTGATCCTCACCTTCCTCACCACCTGGAAGGATGGATGATCTAGGACAGCTCCCTTTGCTGAGAAGTCCCTCTATCTCCCCAGGCCACCTGAGGTCTTGAGCAGTGTTTTTCAGCTCGTCTGGTGCCCTTTGTGGGCACCCATGACTGGAATTCGTGGATGACTCATTTCTGACCTGGCCATTGGCCACTCAAATTGGGGATAATCTAGGAGTGAAGCACAAGACTCTGGGCAGAAAGACTTAGGTTGAATCTGGGCTCTGCTGCTGCATTATAAACTCCAGGGGGTGCCAGTCCCATGTATTCTGGAATTCAGTGTGAATGGGGCCTCCTGGGGTCATGCAACTTGGGGGCCTTCCTCGGTAAGTGCAAGTTCTTCAACTGCTCCTGCCTCTGTTTCCTTTTCTCTAAATTTGAGATAACGTTGGTTCTTACTTTGAAAAGGGGTATTGTGAGGATTGAATAAGATGACACGTGTAAAACCTTAGAACAGGGATTGTATATTAGTCAGGGCTGTTTGGAGGGAAGATGTTAGAAATTTACCCCAAATTAGTTTGAACAGAAATAAGAGTTTTATGTAGCTACAAAGTCCAGGGGTGTGCTGGATTCAGGGCTCAAATGCTGACATCAGGAATCAAACGATCAATTTCTGTCTCTCTCCTTCCCTACTTTCCTCTCCTCGCACTCCTCTCCCCTCACCCCTTCCTTGCTAGCTCAGCTTTTCTGTGTGTTGGCTTCATCTTTAGCAGGCAGAGATGGTCTTCTGCAGTACTGGGCATATCTGGGCCTTGTTGTTAGTAATCTTAGTCAATGAGAAAGCCTCTTTCCTGATCGCTCAATCAAAAGTCTCAGAGATGATTCTCATTGGCCCAGCTTGAGCCATGTGCTTCATCCCCTGGACCAATCACTCTTGCCAGGGATATGGAATACCCTTATTAGCCAGACCGGGGATATGTCCTCACCCTTGGAGTTGTCAGGAGATGGGGGTTGGGTGTTTTCCCAAAGGAAGGCTGGGATGTTGTTAGCAAAGAAAGGAGAAAGAGATGGCAGGAAGGACCAAGCTATGGGTGTCCACCACAAGCAGCACAGGTAGGCACTTAGAATGGGTTAGCTTCAATGCTGCTGCAGCTGTTCCGTTGGGTAGAGTAGAGCTGGAGCAGCCAAATGACCTTTATTTGTGATACTGGGGGCAGGAAGAAGGCAAGGGACAGATAAAAGAGATGGCTCTCCAGGGCATGTACATAAAATCTGGAATAGGCTCTAGGACCATGTGCTGGAAGTGAATCATGTATTGAATGTCAAGAGAATGTTAGAGTAGGCCTTAACTGGTACACTGGTGAATTTGACCCTGGTCATTGGGTTAGATTGGGATGTGGGGGGAGGTTAGAGTCATAGACGTTTTGTAGAGTGTTAGAGTTCAAGTACTTCCTCTTTCAGCTGGGGAAAGAAAAATACTTAGGTCCTCTAAGCTTAGTGTGAGGCTGGATGGCCCTTGTCAGGAATGACCTTGAAGGACCCTCTACCCTGTGACATGGGGCCTTCCCTCCCAGCTCCCAGCTGTGCCTCAACAAGCTCTTATTACACCAGGGCCCACTTTCGTCCCAATGCCTTCCTTCTGGCCCAGAACATATAATTTTGTTACTTCTCTGGAGGGCCTCTGGCTAAACCCCAAAACCAACAGCATGGGCTGCTAAGGAATTAGTGTTAAATTGAGGGGGACAAGGAGAGGTGGTGTTTCTGATCCTAAAAAACAACCAAATGTGGTTTGATTTACTTCCCAGTAATCCAGCCTGGGTTGATTTTACAAGACCAGTGATCCCAGCACTTGAGGTTAATGCTGACCTGGTGTGCAGGTTGCAAATCACGTACCACAACTGCAGTCAAATCTCACTGCTCAGAGAGGAATGGGGGCTGTAGGGTATCAACTGTGGAAAATTCTAAAGGAAATGCAGCTTTTATAATCAAGCAAATGTAGCAAAGGTCTGCTAAAGTAAATTTCTTTTTTTTTTTTTTTTTGGTCAGTTGAAGATTTTCAGAACTCTGTAGATAATTCTTCCAGCCTTTCCATTTTGGAGATAAGGAAACCAGGGATAGGATAGAAGAGGTTAAGGGACTCGTTTATTCACTCTGTGTACTAATTTCCTAACAATTATACAGGATCTTGTAGAGCAAGAGGCTGGGGAGGAAAAGATCATACGACCAAGTCTCATTCTTCATTTCACAAATATTTATTGAATGCCTAATAGGTGCCAGGCACTGTCCTAGGCACTGGAGATACTTCTTGTGTTGTTATTGTTGTGTGCCGTCAAGTCGATTCCTACTCATAGCAACTCTATATGATGGAGTAGAACTGTCCCATAGGGTTTCCTAAGCGGTAATTTCTATGTAGCAGATCGCGAGGTCTTTTCTCCTGGGGAGCTACTGGTGGGTTCGAACTGCGGACCTTTCAGTTAGCAGCCAAGAGCTTGACCATTGTACCACCAGGGCTCCTTACTAGAGTTATAGCGGTGAGCAAAGTAGACAGAAATCTCTGCCCTTGTGGAGCTGATGTTCTAGTAGGAGTGGAGGAAATCTAGTAAATAAGTAAAATGTATTAGGTGTCAGATAGTAAAGTGTGCTATGCAGCAAAAAACCAGGGAAGGCTAGCTACTTAACCTTCCTGTGTTTTAGTTTTCTTATCTGTAAAATGGAAATAATATTAGTACCTCCCTCCAAGTGTTGCTAAACCAAAAGCCCATTGTTGTCGAGTCAGTTTTGCCTCATAGTGGCCCTATAAGACAGATTAGGACTGCCCCATAAGGTTTCTAAGGCTGTAATCTTTACGGGAACAGACTGCCACATCTTTCTTCTGCAGAGCGGCTGGTAGGTTTGAACTGCTGACTTTTTTGTTAGCAGCCAAGCACTTAACCACTGCGCCACCAGGGCTCTCCCAAAGTGTTGCTAGTGAGGGTTAAATGTAATAATATATGTACACCCTTAGCACAATGCCTGGCTCATAGTAGGTGTTCAATATATATTTGTTTTTATCACCACGGCACCAGCCCTCTCTAGTGCTGGATTCCCGTTCCTAGGAGGAGGAGACAGTATGGTGGCAATTGATATCTTGTAGAGCCTGGACATTGGAGAGAAAGCTGGAGGTAGGGAACAGGGTGAGGATGGAGCTAATATTTGTTGAGGGCCCACCATGATCCAATTACTCTGTCTTGCCATTTACACATACTACATTTGATCCTCCTAGCATCCTTTTGAGGTTATGATTGGTATCCTTCCTTTCAGACAGAATAGTCTTATCCGAGGTCACACACCTAGGAAAATGGCTTTGGACCCGGTTGAGTCTTGTGTCCTTTAAGCCAGAGCCATCCAAGCTTTTCATCAGTGAACCATGTAATCAGATAACGACACGTGTGCAGCTGCGTAATTATTTCTTAAATAATATCTTCTTGCTGTTTAACATTTTGGTTTTCAGCAGTAAAATAAAAGTAGCCCCAAACAGTAATAGGTCTACCGCTAGTCATTGACAAATACGGTATTGTTGCTGTTGTTCGGTGCCGTCGAGTCAGTTCCACCTCATATGAGTCAGTTCCCAGTGTGATAGAGTAGAACTGCCCCATAGGGTTTCCTAGGCTGTAATCTTTACAGGAGCAGATCGCCAGGTCTTTTCTTTCTTGAAGCTGCTGGATGAGTTCAAACCACCAACCTTTCGGTTAGCAGCCAAGTCCTTAACCATTGTACCACCAGGGTTCCTTAGTATTGTATTAGTAGAGTGAATTACTTGAGGACTCTGGGTTCATTTCAGTCAGGATGTATTTGCTTCTTGACTCTAGGTTTCTGTTCCTATTATTGGAACTCAGATTTGATTTTCTGAAATGTGTATCTCACCTTGCCAAATTCTGAGCAAAGTTTGGCCACAAAATCATAAATTGCTGGCTGACTCTGCGGGCTCATGTACTCATTCCACGAGGCCAGTTGCTTTTTGATGGGCAGAGTTCAGTCTCTGCTTAGTTACTTTTAAACCTAGACTCTGCAAGTAAGGCAGAATCTTGATAGTTTAGACACATTCTCAGCTTTGCCCTCTGGAGACATCCACTGAAACACAAGGTACAATTCACGCACATCAAACTTTGTGAATTATTTTTGCCAAATGGTACTGTGGTTTTCTCAAGCTTGAGGTAGTCCAGCAAAGTAAAGTGATTGGGGTGTCTGCTCCACCCACCCAGTACGAGTCTCCCACCTGCTCTCCTTGTGCAAAGTAAGAAAGTTCTTTTAAACCTACAGTTATCAGTTCAGTGTTTTCAGGAATCATGCCTCATCCTGAAGAAGCACAGTCTTGATAATGATAACGGGTGATCTGAGCTGGTTGCTTCTTGAGGGCTTCAATGACAAAGGCCCTTGATCTCAGGAAGCAGCCCTGGAAGTTTCCACACCCATACCGTCTATCTCACTCTGCTAACCGAAGAGAATATCCTCATAGCCAACTTTGGCATCCTCCAGATTCTGTGCAAAGTGTTGATTGTTAAAAACATTGGTACACCCATACCTACCTTCTTGATCACTCCCACCTTCCCATCTGGCAGTGAACTTGGCTTTGGTTTGTGTCCCCAGCTCCCCTCCTCAGTGCTACTGCATGATGGATAACCATGCCTGCCATTTTGTTTTCATAGGGGCTAAAAGTTCCTCTTCTACTTTCATTTATGGGTACTCTCATCAGTGGCCTAAGAGCTCATCTTTTTTATAGTTTGACCAAACTTTTCACCTTTTTGTCTAGTGAGTGCTTGGTAGGGAGGGGAGAAAAGAATGAGCATTTAATGAGTCCCTGCTATGTGTGTGGTACCATGCTGTGTGCCATATATACATCTGTCTCCTTTAATGTCCTGAATAACCTTTAGTGGTTAGTATTCACATCCTTATTTGAGGAAAGGGAGAGGCA